CACAGAGCCCGGGATCAGCTGGGGAGTCCCTGGCTGACCCTGGGTTCTGCAGCAATGCCCCACAGAACCCAGGGTCCCAGGCAATGGGGAGTGGGGTTCCCAGCTGACCCGGGCTCTGTCACATTTCAAAGCAGCAGTGCAGCATGGAGCCCGGGGTCAGCGAGGGACTCTGAGTCCCCCGCCGACTCCAGGCTCCACCAGGGCGCTTCCGCTTTGAAATGCGCAAGAGGCCCCGCTGGGGACGTGTGTACATTTCAGTGTGCAGCCCGGGGCCAGCGGGAAGTCCTGCTGACTCCGGGCTGCAGGCAGAGTTCCGCATTCCTCCTTTGAAAGGGTGCCCTAAGAGTAAGCTGGTGGGGTGGGTTCTGGCGTGGCCTAGGGGATTGGGCATTCGCCTGGGGAGAGCAGTGTGGCGGGGGCTGGTCCCTGGCCCACCCCCAGGGGGAGCTGGGGGCTCCTGTACATTTCAAAGGAGGAATGCAGAAGTGCCTGTCAAGTAATCAATGGAAATTCCATCGACTATTCAACTAGTAAATTACTTGTTAGTTAACATCCTTACCGTGGAGAGGCCAAAGTTCTGGGCTCTGTTGGAGAGCAGTGACCCAGGCTATGCCCCAGTTACCTTCCCCATCCTCACTGGTGCAGAACTCTCTGCAGGTCTGGCCTGGGGAGTCAGTCCGCACGCTTGAAAAGAAAAGGCCCTCCCCTCCCTCGCTCCTGTTGAGGGGGTTTCTCAAGCCTTGGTATTCAGCACGGCCCTGTGCTCCTGACGCCCTTTCCAGAATGGGAGACGTGTGCTGGCAAAACTCAAGCACTGCAGCAGCAAAGGCGACACTTCCCATACAACACAACCACAGAGCCTTGCCCCTGCTCTGAAGTGTTCCCTGGGGAGATCACTGCATCTTCCTCCTCCCCAAGATTCTGTCTTGTAGGAGAGGGCAGCCAGTCCTCCCTGGTGCCATGAGGCTGTGCTAGGCCCAGACAGTCCCAGGCTTTGCTAAGGCACTGTGTGCCATGAACAGAATGCCAGTGGGCGGTGACGGACCGGAAGAAGAGAGATGATGCACTGGGATTGGAGCTGAGAGTCTACAAGGCAATGCAGGAGGCTCTCAAAGAACTGCAATTTTACAGAGAAGAAAGAAATCTGAGGTTGCACAAGGGCACTTTGGGTGGAGCTGGAATCAAAACCACCAACTCGAACCCCTAAGCCTCACCCAAACTGCCTTCTGAAACGAATGTGCCAAGCCCCTGCTTGCTTACCCTGTCTCTAGCAGTCATTCTAACCACTAGGCCCTAGTGCTCTTCCAGAACCAGGACGAGAGGCCAAGAATCCCAGTTCCCAATGTCCCCTCGCAACGCAGCCAAGTGGCAGAGGGCCGTGGTAGGGGCTGGAGGTCCCATGTGCAGTGCCTGGTGTGGTTTTCTCACAGCAGTACCCTTTTTGGGAGAGCTGTGGAAAGGCCTTAGCTAAGTGCTCCCCAGGGTGGGAAGTGCCATACCCAGGAAGGCAGCCCCCACGTGCAGTGGCACCTTTCAACTCACTTTTGTAGATGACCACAGGATTTTGGCCGAGTGAGTTGAACCGAGTTCTGGTTCAGCCACACCACAAAGCCCTGCTTTCGACCACAGGATTTTGGCCGAGGAGTGATTTGAACCTAGTTCTGGTTCAGCCACACCACAAAGCCCTGCTTTCCCTGGCCTTCTGATTGCAGTTCAGAGCTGGTTCTACACGAGGCCTTGCTAACTGGAGAGACGCCATGCCTCTTCGGCAGTACCACCCAACCCCCCATGCAGCAGGCAGCTGCCTTGGAGAAATCCAGCCCCCGGCGGCCAGATACCTTCGTGTAGGCGGCCTCGGTCTCGACGATGGTTTTCTCAAACTCGTTGCGGGTGGCCATCTTGCGAGCCAGGCTCTCGTTGACGCGGGCCAGCTTCTCGGTCAGGAGCCGGATGTCGTTTTGCAGCTTGCTCTTCTCCTCCTCCTCGTGCTGGATCTGCTGGCTCAGCTCATCCCGCTTGGTGCACAGCTCCTCGATACCTGGGGCAGGAGGCGAGTCAGGGCCAACTGTGGCCAGGAGCTCAGGGCCCATCCCTCTAGCACGCACGCAGGCGAGACATGTCCTGAGGCACCTGCATGGCCTCCCTGCACGGGGAGGTGGGGCCCACCTGGCCAGTGCAGAGAGTGTGGGGGAGTATGGGGAGGGAGGGGATGCCCCATCCCTCTAGCACGCACGCAGGCGAGACATGTCCTGAGGCACCTGCATGGCCTCCCTGCACGGGGAGGTGGGGCCCACCTGGCCAGTGCAGAGAGTGTGGGGGAGTATGGGGAGGGAGGGGATGCAGTGCACAGAGCGGGCACAGGGTGCATAGGGGGGCAGTGCACAGAGCAGAGGGGGGGTGCAGGGT